ATATATATATATACATGCACAGAACATTTATAAGAAGTTTCACGTCTTTATCCCGCGAATCCACTGATAGAGGAAAGGAATAGTATTCAGTCAACGGTTCAATAATCTGAGCAACTAGTAAACCTAGAGAAAGTGTTACTGCCAGCTTAGTGAACCAAACGACTCTTGCTCGACTAGCGAATTCTTTTTTTTCTTTTTTCTTTTAATGGACAAGGCTTCAGATGTCTTCGGAAACTTGGAGAAGTGATGAACATCTCATCAATTTTTCATTGGTCTGGATATATTTTCAGTTGTATTAGAGCTCATTTAAGACTACATCGACTCACTGAGGAAATAAGCTTGGGCTAAAATAAACGCTATTGGGTCGACCACAATTATTTGACGAGAAGCTGACTATGCGACATGTTGTTATTTTCGATACTGTTCTTTTGAAACAACAGTGATGTTGTCATGAGGGGGTACATTCACTTACTTTAAGACCAGCAGCTTTTTCCATTCATTTCAAGCTGAGAGATATAAGCAAGCATATATTCGATTCGATTCCAAGTATCTCATAGCTTTTTTCCGTATCATATAAGTGCGGGGGCATGGCATGAACAAGATAGCTGTGAGTACACTTCTTATCACATTCCAATCTAGTGAGCATACCATTAGGCTAAGTAAATTCAGAATTTGGCTAAGTTCATCTGAATTTTAAGACTTTCACAATCATCGACATCATGAGGTTTCGCTGTAAAAATTGAGCTTTTAAAGCGGCACAATGAGCCGCTCTCTTTGTATATTCGTAGTCCGTCTCAGTTTCTCTACAGTGTCCTGCGACGTACAGATGAAGAGATGGGAGAGGTTGTGAGATGATACGATGACATTTATACCGAAATCCGAAACCGAAACTGTCGTACTGGTATGAATTAACGACATGATAAGTGTTACATGCCAATGGACGAATTCTAACCCTACAATGCTAATTTCTATCATGAAAAGAGATAAAAGCATATATTTACTCGCGGTACTAAATATCGATGAAATTTGATTTTTTAGAAGGTGGATCACTTGGAGAACAGATATATCCTAGAGAGTACACCTATCCAGAATCAAATGCGTATTTCGATGAAGCAGAGGAAAATGAGAGGTTCCCACTTGAGGTTGCATAGTTTTTTTCTCATTTGTTCATCTGGTTTAATTTTCACATTTTTTCGGTGATAACTAGAGGAGTTCCTTATTCATGATTTCATGTAATATGCTTTATCCACTACTCACGACTCAGGGGTTATAAAACTTAGCTCTTCTTTGTCTCACTCCAAACTTCCTTCCATTTATTCATATACTTAGTTCTCATCAGTTTTCTGAGCTGTTCTATAAAAGGCTTCAAAATTATGCCCGTTTAATGTAATTATACCCATGAAGGGAATACGACGAAACAACTGAGCTTAGCGTTCTTATTATTGCTTATTCTGAAAAGGATGAGCTCTGGACGTCGTCGTCTTCCGTTTATTTCTTCGCAAACAGTCGATAGCGAGCAAATATTTACATTCGTTAATATTTAAGACCCCGAATGCTTAGGAAGGTCAATTCTTCTTAGGTGTACTGCGCTCCTTATTTGGGAGGTGCTATTTTTTCTTAAAAGCGTTCCTATGCCGAATCTAGTCTTGAGTTCTGTGTTTTGCAAGTAACTCGATATCACTGTGGTTTTATTCAATATAATACCATGTGAGGAAGGAATACTTGGATAATCGGGTACTTGGACAGCCCGTCCTCACTAGTTGTGCGAGCCCCAGCATATTCTCCTTTTTCCGAAGTTTTATTGGTTTACCCATGGTGGTTTTCTGGCGTCCCGAGGTCAGCCTAGCGAGTCAGCCACAGATCGTCACCACCACACGCAGTCGCCAGCTTTTATGGATCAGAAGGAGATTTGTCACTATGCGACTAATTTCGTACCAGGAAGGTGGCGGATCATGGTATTAGTTTACTTCTACTTATGCTTCCTGATGGAAACACGAGACTCTTCAGCTTGAGAGACTTTGCCGGGGATGAATATCCCCGCTGTAGATTGCAGCCCGATTTCCAGGAACACCTCCCAGCTACGATAAGGCAGTAAATTGTTGGGAGATAGGAAGAAATAATAGACAGTAAATAAGAAGTACAGTGTATGCTCCTATATCGCTGATTATGCACTTTTCAGGAGTTTTATGCAAAAGAGAATCCATTAAATGGAAGGCAACGAGACGTCAGAGATTCTGAGGGTTATTATGAAAATTTAGAGGGAATTCTTCAACAACTTGCAAAGCATAACGGTGAGCAAGAAAGGCAAGATGAAACAGGTGAGAATAGTTAACTGATTTCTGAAAAAACCATCCAAATGTTGTGTACATTTATGGTGAGCTATTTTCCTCCAGTCATTTCGTTTCCAAGCATGCTTTTCTCTATATTGTTTTTACTTGACTTAATTAAAAACTGTGACTTCCTTTCACCTTTTTTGCACTTAAAGGGCATTCTCAGTGCTTTTTCATGCATGGATGTTCAACATAATCATTGCCATAAAAATCATAAACTTCATTATAGCGAACACTGAAAAAACAAAAGACGTTTTTCTTGAGTGAGAAGCTTTCATATAATCCTTTAGGATGAAAAAGCTAGTCAAAGTGGAGATTTGGATGGAAGAGTATCAGAATAGTTTGTATTTCAAACACATGCCATAGTGTTGCTTTAACATTCACCGAAATGTTATCTAATGCTTCGCTGTAGAGAAATCTATTGAAAATCTTCGATGTCCTTCATTATGAATTGGTTGTTTATTGCCTAATAATTTTACTTTGCATTCCTCATTTCGACCCGTGTGGCGCAGTGGTTGGAGACACTCTGCAGCATACGCATAGAATCGATCTTCGCGCCCATGGCCCACCAAGCGCTCCATTTCTTCGGGGTTGGGAAATTGGCACTGGACTTGTCTGGGAGGATAGCAGCACGGGTTCGATGCGTTGGTAGACCACCACGAGTCATTGTAAAGGTTAGATATGCATCCAGTTCACCTCCAAACGAAGCTTAATGAAGTCGAACGCATGGCGCATCCTTCAGGGATTGATCGCCGTTGGTCGGGATCAACGCCGAGAGTTTTATCCTTTTTTATTCCTTATTTGAATAGTTGTTGCGATCATCGCGTTAGATATGTTAAGTTATGCATTTCATTTTTTCAACTACACAGTCAACTGGAATGTATTTTGAGATGTCTAGAAATCCACTTTAATTGTTGACCATTCATCTAACTGAGTTATATTAGTTGTCATTAATAATGAAATTATTGTTTTTTTGTTCCATTCAGAAATTCCCGATGAATTGGAGATTGAGCTAGAAAAACCTACAGAACAAATGAAGGCGGAAAAAGTGGCAGAATCCGAGAAAGCAGACCCATCACATAGCCACATAGAGGAACAACCTCTCGTAGCCCAGAAAAAAGGCCAAAATGAGTTCGTCTCATTCGTCGAGCCGGTTGTGGATGCTAAGCAGATAAAGTAAGCACATATTTCAAAAACGGTTACAGATTAACTTAGAAGTAGATTTTAAGACAAAAACTGGGAGGTGAGATCTCAAACACTACTCTAAAAGTTGCTTGCAATAACTTTTTTGGTAATATATCCTACTGTAGAGGCGCGCATAGCGTAATGCTTTGAGCGACCAAGCATTACATACCAAATCGATCGCTGACTCGATCCTTCGCATAGAGTTCACCAAGCCCTCCATACTTCCCGGTATGAAAAATTGCCACAAGACTTGTTTGATGGGGTAAGAGCATCGATGTAAAACATCGGTAAGCTACCGCAAATCATTGTATATGCAAGGTATGCATTCAGTCACCTCTGTGATGCAACGAATAGAGTCCAATGCACGGCGTATCCCTCAAGGATTAATTACAGCCAGAAGCTTGGCGCTTTTAATCTTTCATTTCCTCCTGTAAGTGTACACTACAGTATGCCGCTATCTTATAGTAATATATAGCTTATTTGTAACTGCTGTGTACTCTGTTTAAGATGACTTCTATTAGAAACAACTGAAAGATATTGAATTAACGACTAAAACACTTCTATATTGAGGTCGGTATCAACACTGGAGAAACGTCGCCTCACGCTTTCCTCAGGATTCTCCGGCGACCTGCCAACATACAGCAGTAATTTACTGATGATTGGTGTGTTTTTGAATTAACGTTATTTTGACTATTTTACATTGAAAACAACACATATGGCTTAGAAACATAATCTATTAATAAAACTAACGATATTTATCTTGAAGGGAGGGCACTTCGGTTTGTTCTTTTTGTTTTGTCACATTTTTTTCTGCTGAAAACAAGTTTTTATGAACTTCTTTTCTTTAGAAATCGCACTTTTGTTCGCCCTATTTATTTTCATTAGTTTTGTTGTGAACAAGTTAGTTCTGTTGAATGCTTTATACTGTCGCTGCCATTTTCAACAATTATGTAAAAAAAAGAAAATATTGATCTATTTACTTAATGTGGAAAGTTTATTTTTTGGTTAAACTATGTTTTACCTCATTATATTGAACTCGGTGCTTTGATTGAGCCCGAAAGGCATCAGATATAATCTTCGTCTTAAATGGTTTTACGGAGGATTCGATGTAGATTAAAAGAGCCACTTATCGGCATTCATGTCGCCATCAATGATGGGAATCTCATGCTTAACTTGTTTCGTTGTGTTTTCTCGTTCTCTCTTACTCGACTACGGCAGAAAAATTACCAAGTCACATGCATTGAAGCGAATCGTGGTGTTCATAGCGACAAGAGAAAGATTACGACGAAGTATTGGCTCAGCACTAAGCAGGAAGACGATGCTCATTTGTACTTTGTAGGTTGCAACTTAATACGATTTCCGCGGTATTATCTGTACTGTTAATGATTCCGAAATATTTAATAAGCTTCTAGTTTCAAATAAGCATGTTGAAGTTAAAATTTCTTATGCGTTAGTCACGATTTGCCTCTCAATAATCCGCATTACCTAGTTATGCTTGAATATCTGTTTTTTTCCCAGGACTCTTATATTCTTAAACAAACGAAACACAAGCGTAATCTCGATATAATGAAAACTAACCTTTTAACCTTTTCTTTATTTACTTCCTACTACAATTTTTCACGGCAGGGTATGATGTGAATTACAACCACAACGATGTTGAGATATTGGCAGAACTTGAACTCCGTACCAGATCGAACCACGATTTCCCTTTCCGGGAGCTAGCGCATTACACACTGCGCCACGAAGGCCCTTGATCTGCGTTTTTCTCAGCTATTTGTGTCGTTGTGGTTGTAAATAGCCTTTTATTTTAGTTTTAGATTTTATTTTTTTTTTTTAGATTTTAGTTTTTCAAAATTATATAATTTTAGTAAGGTATTTTGCGTTTTAATCGGAAGGATATTAATGTAATACATTTCTCAACAATTCATGATGTTTAAAGGCTATGTATTTACATCCACGTTTTGGTGCTTTCATTAATTATCTTATAGGATCCAGTTTTTTTCACTCTTATACGCTGAGTTTTTTCAGCAGTAGGAACCGTACTGATCGTAGGGATCGTGGTGTCAGTTATCGGCGGCGGCTACTACATAAAGTGAGTTTCCTATATCGGTCATTTTTTTTTTGGAAAATTGAAAAGTATCATGGATTTGTGATTCTTGTAATAATTTTTCGTCTACTGAGACGTAAAGGCATCGTTTCTATAGAAAAACCTTATTCAGTCAAGTACCGACGCCCTCCGGCATTTCCACACTGCAACTGAAAGCACACCTAACATCCGTCTTTTTATCGAAAATGTGTTATTGAAATTTTAATAGACTCTTTATTTTTGTATTTTAAATAATAAGAGGGTAGCATATTTGAACATAACTAAACTCTGTGATTGCATTACTTCCTGTGTATGGGCAATTTTCTTAGATGAGACGACGTATTAAGTGTTAAATGAAATCGCAAACAATTACTTATAAGTAACGATGTACAGACATATTCTAACGAGAATAACCTGGAGCTAATGTAATATAAAACGTATGAAAGAGGTACTGAATAGAAATCTTGCAGTGAGCCGATTTAACGCCTTTATATCTAAAAATAACTCCATTCTTATATTTGTCTCTGTGTAGCGTTCACAGTAGGCATCGATATATTAATGACTTTATTTTGCTTTAAAAGTTTATGCTTCTACTTTATTCTTATTGTGTAAAGGTAATGAGTATTTTAGAAGACGTCGAAGCTCCACGGATGACAACGACTACGCACCTTATGCTGGCACTGGTCCAGGCTTTAAAAAGAATAAGGTTGAATATTTTTTTACATTAAAATGTAATCCACGAGAATCAAGTGCTTTTGCTTAAGAAACTTCCAAAAATGCGAGCGATACAAGATTAAGTGGCTCATGCATTTCCGAAAACCATTTTCCCGTTTAACTTCGAAGAAGCATGTCTCAGCTTCGAGTAAACTTCCAATAAAGTTTGCTAGAATCTAAGCATCATCCTATGCAATATACTCAAAGTGATAGGCCTGTTCTATAAGACACTGATGTCACTAACATGTCCAGTTCTGTAGTCATCAAAATACCGTTGGAAGTTATTGAAAATGCCTCATTACTCGGAATGTACTAAGCAACTACTGTACTCTTCAAAGTGGAGTAGAAAACAATTCTCATTTTAATAGTTTTAGTTTCTTGTGTTCGACGACGTGCTTTAGTTGACACAGGGGCTATGAAAACCTTTAAATACTTTATGGCTTCTCGAGAAAAAAAAAGCAGGAAAAAGTGGTTCGAATTCGTATAAGATATTTGCCGAGAACGAAAGCAGTCATTTATAGTGTCATTTATCATGACGATTTTGTTGTGTATTCCAAATAGGCGCCTCATTTGGCTCATGAACTTAAAGAATGCTGATCATCCAACTACTGAAATCCAATTCAGAAATAGCCGCGACTGCTTAAAGTATGTAATAAAAATCAGGGGCGCGTATAGTGCAGTGGTCGGATGTACCTTGCAATACACATGGGATCGATCCTCGCGCCCCAGACTCACCAAGCCCTCTATCCTTCCGTGGTCGGTAAATTCGCAGCAGACTTGTCTGGGAAGGTAGTAGCACTGGCTGGATACATCGGTAGGTCACCGCGAGTCATTGTAAATGCCAGATATGCATTCAATCACCTCCACACAATGAATAATGAAGCCAAATGCATGGCGCATCCCTCAGCGATTGATCAACGCCGAGAGCTTTATCCATTTGTCCTTTAATAAAAATCCTAAAATCATCTATGTTTCAGGGCGACAAGGGTGATGAGACCTTAGCGTACAAAGCTCAACTCCATCAATATCAGCAAGCAAAGCAAAAGATCATCTGTGGTGAGGATGCGCCTGGTAGGTGTTTGGTGCTATATCTTAAAATAAAAATATAAATACGCATAGTCAGTAGATATTAGACAAGTATGACTATATGAACATTATAATATCTCACGCAAAAGCAAGCAGTTCCAAGTCAGTATGTCTAAAACTGCTTTCTTACGGGCACTAAGAATTCTGGAATACAGATTATTTATTCTCATGACTTCTGAGGACCAATCGCAGCTTTGATTCGACGGTTGCCTGCGAAATCTAAGACTTAGGAATCAGAGTTATACCGCTGAAGAATTAACGGGAAAGAAATTTCTTGAATTTTATGCGCACAGATTCGAAATATGTTTAATATTCCGTTATTCATCTACTGCCATATGGATGCACGATGACTTTTCTTAGGTTTGAAACTGTAGTGCTGCTCATCAACAGCTCTATTCGATTAAGTCGCCCTGCAGAGTCATCGGTAAACCTAAAAGCGAGTTTGACGTATCACTTATCTCGATGTCCACCAACGAGAATTAGCGCAGCACATCATGCCTAGACGGGACAAAACCAGTCGAAATAACTTATTTCCCACCTGGAAATTTGATGCCTTTTGTATTCCTAGAGAATACAGAGTTTTCAGGTGTGTACTCCAAATAACTCATAATTAATGGGTTAACATTTTCCTAGAGACGTGTGTGACATAACGCCCTCTAAAAGAGCGCATTGGATGGAGGTGCCTACTGAATCGATTCCTGATTCGACCACTCGCCTAGCGCTCACCAAGGCTTCCATCCATTCAGGTTCAGCTAATTTGCACCAGACTTGTTTGGGAGGATAGAAAGCTGACTTGATTCATCGGGAGACCATGGCAAGTTATTGTATAGTCCAAATAGGAACTCATTCACCTCTGCAATTTCTGCTGAAGTGAGTTGCATGGCACATCCCTCAGGGATTGGTCGACGTCGTGCATTATTCTTTATCCACATCAACGTGTTCTAGTTTTCCGTTTGCTCTTTATATTATAGTGTTAGTGATTTTTCTTTCTTAAAAATGTTATTTTTATTTGAACACAGTGAACTGTCCGTGGCGTGTGCATAACGCAGTCGTTAATACCATGTACGAAAGTGTTTCGATTTTAGCAGGTCTTGAATCGGATGCTGAAGACGATGGTGCTGATGACGAGAACAACTATAGTGTGTATGAATGTCCTGGACTAGCACCAACGGGCGATATTGAAGTATGTAATCCGAATTTTGCTGCTCATCCGTAGCGACGTCTGACGACACGCGCCTGTTGTAATTGGCCGCTTGCCCGCCACCGCCCATCTGCCAATCAACCCACTTGTGCTCCACATTCTTCACCCGAAACAAAACGACTAAAAGACTAAAAAAAATGTATAGTTACAAAATCGCTCTAGCTTAGATAAAATTGTACTTTCGTGTGTTGTGGCGTTTTATTTCAGTATTTTTCGTTTGATCTGATATTTTTTTTCGTATAGCGAAATTAGTTGAATTGAATCCTGAGAGATCTGAAAGCGTACATTGTTCTTTATTCTTGAAAATCTTAATGTGTTGTGTTGTGTTGTGTTGTATAGTTAAGTGTCTGTGTATTCTTCACAACTTTAAACGTACAAGTGACGTAGTAAATGAAGGACCGGTGACTTTAATAAATTTCTACGAGATATCCTGCTAAAATATTTACATTATATGTGTAGAAAATTTTTATTCTCCTTCCTTCCAAGTGCGGATGCTGTGAGCAGTGCCGTGTTGAAAATGAATAAATATGTATTTGTTCGACATTTCGTCTTAATTCCGCTATCATGCAATGCTGATAGTGGATGAGACATTCTGAAAATTCGTTCCTCTCTTTCCTTCTTCATCTTCTTCTATTTCTTTGTCTTCGTTCTTTTTTTCTTGTGGGCACGTGGATTTAAATGGCGAAAAATATCGGCATTCTGACCAGGGAATTATGATAAAGATGCAGTTTTGTTGATGTGATCGTATCTTTATTATTATTATTGGTTCCTTCTTACACTCAAATGAAAAGAAGTGGGAAACGACAATGATAGGGTACGACATTCTTCGACCTTTTCTCGTTTATCTTGATACTGTTACCAATCTGTAGATAACGTCTTACGAAAGAGGAGAAGCGTTGCAAGGAACAATTCATCACGTAGTTGTTTCCATATACTTCATCCTTTAGCAAATTAAAGATATATTTAGTTACGTATAATGAAAGTAGTCGGGCAACATCAACAAACATTCTTCTCTCTACATGAACAACAACTTTATGTGCATATGCGTACACGAATGTCTAGATATGTATGGATATGATTGTGTGTATGTGTATCCGGGAGCAGGCATGGGAGATTGCGCATGCAAGTATGCATATGTAGGTGTGTGTACACGTACGAACGTACGTACGTGCGTATGTATGTATGCATGTATGTATGTATGTATGTATGTATGTATGTATGTATGTATGTATGTATGTATGTGTGTACGAATGTGCGCTGGAATCTGTAACTGCAATCCAGATATGCGTCCAACCTCTAACGACGTTTAATGAAGTCGAATGCATGGCGTACCCCTTAGTGATTAATCAACACCGAGAGATCTATCCTTTTTTAAGTAGAATTATACACATTTGTAAGAAATCCCCTTGTTCACGTTGTTTTTCGTTTTCGTAATTGCAGATGTGTTACCAAATTATGTGGTACTTAACCAATTACGAGTCGTTAAACTGCTAAGCAATACCACATCTAACCGAATGTCTGTCAAGTTTCTATGCACAAAGTGGTTCAGATTGCATACTTTCCTTATAAAATCCTTATTAGGTTCTTTATCCTTATTAGGCTTCTGAGAACAAAACGTCTACATTCACGGGAATCCCAATTTTCTCATTCAATTGCGTTCATTTAACACAAACACTTGAATACGAAACGAATTTGCACTTTCATTCAAGTAGAAAAACTGGCTTGTTTCAGCAATCCACGCAACAAACCGGGACGTTCTATCAAAAAATAAGAATAAGTTCCATTAAAAACAAAGACGTTTTATCAATTGTTTTTCGAAATGAACAAGAACGGAAGTGTGAGTTGTTTTTATTCGGGGAACAACTTAATTTAAGAGAAAGTGCATTGGCATTAGCATTTCTGTGAAAAAAAGGAAGTATAGAAAACAATTAGAGCCGACGAAATTTTTTCCTTGATTTCAGGGAATCTGCCATCGCTTCTTCTCGTTTCAATATCACTACTAAAATAAAAGAAACCGGAAAATAATAGTTCGCCTGAGTGCAGCCCTAAATTCCTGGAGTTCTCTTTCGTAATTAAAGCGAACAATAGTTAAAACTACAACCACAAAAATGTTGAGATATTCGCAAAACTAAGACCACGGGCCAGACCGAACTACGACTTCTCATCTCGGAAACTCGCGCCATACCCACTGCTCCACGGAGGCCCTCAATATGCGTTTCTCTCAGCTAGTTTTCTACCCAACACTGCCGTCAGCAATCACCCGTCAGCGGTATTGATAGAATGAGTAGAACGGGAGCGGGATGAATGATTAACATTTGATGATTTTTAAATTCATTTTGCGTTTTCCATCTCGTGCTGAGAGGACTAAGATAAAAAGATATCAAATGGAAAGTTAAAAAAAAACCGAAGAGGCATTTTATAAACAGAAATCTGTCTAGTTTTAAAATCTAAGGAATCTAAAGTAACTTCATTCATGTCACCTATGCGCGAATAAAATTGCAACATTCACTTCATGAATAAATAAAGAACATATTTGACTGTTAAAGATTTTTGTTCCAAATAAACTACATTTTTCTCCCTACGTATATCCAAATTCGAGTGGAAATTGAAATTTCCGTTTCGAATCCATTCTAGGAATAAATCCATGCCAGGAAATCCCGTTAATCTCGAAGAAATCCGGTCGGAAAACGAAGCCCACTTCCTAGCCATTCATAGGTCTTGGCTATAAAATGTGGCAACCGCTGAGAAATATACTGACACTCTGATTTTCGGACGCTGCTATCCCAGAATTCTAGGAAGAAACAAGAGCTACCCAATCAATAAAACGCTGACAAAGTGCAGGCTTTTGGAAAGCCTGCACGATTCGTCAAATTAGTTGAGTAAAGAAATATAACACTGATAATATCGTAGGGTAAGGCCTTTATTACCAAGAACAGTTTTTCGTGCATTTGAAATAATCTCATTCTAAAAGAGAGGAAAAAAATTAGGATTATAACAAAAGAAGGCTAAACTGACATATGTTTAATGGGTTATCACTTCAGTGTTACCATTTCCATCGGTGCTACAAAGCTGAAATCGTATTGATCACAAAGACTTCATTCGAAACATTTCAAAAATCGTCATTTTTTCTAGTGAACCTCTATGAAAGAACTGATAAGAAAATCTATGTGAATGGTATAGTTGAGTTTCGTTGCGCGCAGCAAACTTGGGTTTTTGATTCATCTACAGTGGGTTTTCATGACCGCATAGGGTTGAATCCAGTGAAGGACAACTCTAATGAAGTAACCTCACTCGGCAGCGCCCCTTCATACAGGACGGCTCTTGTTGAAAGTGATTGTCTTTTCTTTGACGTCTTGATGAGTAATCAAAAGTATGCACTAAAGGTGGAAATACTTATAATGCTTACCTTTTTGCTTACTCCGTGTTACTTTTCACGACAGAGTATTATATGAAGTGCAACCACATTGATCGTTGGTGCAGTGGATAACATGTGGGCTCTCAGAAAAGACAACCGTCGATTGGAATCTCACCTAAAGTCCGATTTTTCAAAATATCTCAGCGTCATTATGGTTAAAATTTTTCGCTAATGAGTTCTATGTTTTAATATGGTCGGCGTCGCTGCAGCTTCGGCTTTTCGAGAGCCGCTTTTCCATTGTCTACTGTACCAGATTGGAAGAATGAACAACTGTAGGCGATCAACTCGAGTCATTCTAGCCCTAAAAAAGGAAAAGGCGCCTAAGGCGTTGGCGGAATAAAGCATCTTTTATCAACCTCTTGTTAGCATAACAGTGAAAAAAAAAACATGTTAATTCGTTAATGACAGTTGTTAGGAGTAAACTAACTTGTTCCCTAACACTGGGTTTGACTCAAAGTCTGCACTTGATTAGTAGTAGATAATCAGCAAGTTATTTATCTTATGTCGGAATTAAAAGCATATCTTCACTATTCTTTTTTAAATAAATATCATTATCAACCTCATGTAAGCTCATCAAAGAAAGAATGCATATTGATTAGTGATACCGAGGTTCAAGGAAAGTCGGTTTCGAAACATTCTTTGTTTATTTATATGTTTATATGTTCATTTATAACATCACGGCTCTGAGGAAGGCGAAGTCGCCGAAACGTCAGCCATCGATCAATAACATCAAAAACAACGACAACGACAACGAAGATCTGTACCAACCTCGCGTCAGCTTAAGAAGATCAGTTTATTAGATCATATAAATAAATATATCAACTATCTATGCCGAGGTTTATAGAAAGTCGGTCTTACGAGTTACTATGGGATAATAATATTCTTTGTTTAGTTCTCAGTTTTTTTCTCAACCATTGCTTAAAGCTTATCAGCTAGTTCGCTTATTTCTGCGGTAAAAAAGTGACGTCCCATTGATTCAGAGAGCTCGGCTATCCTTTGGTTTGGGGAGAAAAAAAAGGAATTAGAATTTGGCGCTACTACAGGATGCCGTGATGTTAGATTTTGCAGAAACAGTGTACGTAATTTAGATAATGCAATGATAAGGTTATTTCATAGTTTCTAACTAAAAATCTTTTCCTAGAAGACCTGTTCATCTCATTTTTCCTTCACTGATGAAAGTTTTTTTTTCGCTGTGAAGTTTTCATATTGTTTACGAAGAGCCCTCTATGTCGAATGGTCAAAAAACTGTCGTGTGCAGTACATTCATTTCAATAGTGCTTATCACAACATTTGTTTCACAAAAATGCAACTTTATATGAAAATAAAGCATCTGCCTGGAAACTAGGTTGATTATAATGCAACCTTATTACACTTTGCTGCTTGAGTTTTATGGCACTACGAAGACCACAGTGATCCGAGCATGTCTTCCAGTAAACTAGCTTGCTGGTTGTAAAGCGAAATTTTTTCTGCAGCACCTATGAAGTGGTTTCAGCAAATATTATGATTACCACCACAGAAAGTCGTCGTTTGTGTTGTGGATCGGTGAGACGTTTTCCGCTCCTCGACTTTAGGCTTCTGCAAAAACGGCAATGGTTTTCGGCATTGGTTTAGTTCTTGCTGGTTTATATAACAAAAATGTCGAACTTCATCAGAGCTAGTGTGACTATTGTGGAGAAGAGACCGGTCCCAAGTCGTGGGCTGGTGTACAGGAACACCACCAAGTTGCAATAAAGGGGCCAACCATTTGTGTCGACTAGCAACCAGAAGCCTACTTTTTGCGAAATAAACTTTCTGAGTAGCCGACAAAATTGCTTATTCGACTAACCTTTCGACATCGCTGTTTTTCTAAGAGCCGATAGATAATCCCATTCGATAATCCACAGTCGATCCTACTCTCGATGTGGTGTTTTCCCCGTCGTATCGAATCGAATCCTCTTCAATAGAGTACCGTTCGAATGAGTCAACCTCACCCGCCAGCACTTTTTTGTACAGGTCGATTATTGTTGTTGATAATAACTATTTATTTTTCAACGAATAATTATTATTAGTGGATAATCATTATCAACAACGACAACTGTCCTGTTTAAAAGAACGCTGCTGTGTGAAGCTGCCTGACTGGAGCGGTGATCCACTGAAGAAGATCCGTCTCGATACGAAGACAAAGACACTACATCCAGAAGACGAACGACTGTGGATCATTGACTTGAATTATCGGCTCTGATGAAGACGAAGGGCTCGAAACGTTAGCCGAATAAACATTTAATCGACCTCGTGTTAAGTTAACAATCCAAGAAGGTATCTATTCTTACTGCTGAGGTTAAGTGACAGTCGGTTTGAAAAATATTTGCCTAATGTATTGCGCATCTTTCCTTCATTTATTCCCGCAAAAATTGTTGTCGTATCGATGTTACACTTAATTATATTTAAATATGATATTAGTTAGGCGTGCACTAAGAACTATTCTGCAATGCATATGTCTGTTCGATACCGCTCCTCTGGCTAACCGGGCCTACTCCTTTCCAGGATCGGCAAATTAGGACCAAATTTGTCCAGGAGAACTGAAACACTGGCTTAGGGCATTCGAATATGCAGCGTATCCGTACGAAATTAAAATGTGTCTAATTCAATGTAATTAGTTTTTCGATCTTTATTATCTCGACCAGCTACGTCCACATTTATTGCTCAAACGATTAGCCGAACTAACCGCTGCCGTCCTAGGCGAGACGTTACAGTTATTGCTTGCGATGAAGTCCTCAGAAAGCTTTAGCACAAGTAATTCTTCGCATTTTTGTTGAGCAAACGCGAGGTGTTAATGTTCTTTATTCACGAATAGGCTGACGTTTCGGCAGATTTCGCCTTCCTCAGAGCCTGGAAAGGTCAAGTTGACAGCAATCTACTCGGCCAGACGCCTCCATAACCAAACAAAGGAACTCCAAACCAAGATTTCAATCACGTTGAACACAGCTTTGCACACTCAAAGCTTTCTATGAGGTTTCCACTAAGTATGTCACGTAGAGATCAACCGCACAGAAATAACATGGAAGTATAATGTGCCCCTCACATCAGAAAAGCAGTCTTATATACTGCCCTATATCACGTGTGATAATGAGGCATTCTTCCCTGCGGTTCATTTTCGGATTTCTGGAATTAATCCAGCCAAGTAGTAAAAACACCTTGGCTCATTACCTCTCCTCTCACCCATCTCACACGAAAAGGGCGCTTATAAGAAACATGTTTCGAACAGCAACCAACGTGTGCACGGGAAGAGAGCAGAGAGAGGAGTCCCGGTACTTGGCACGGCAAATAGCCATTTCTAATGGCTACGAAACTGTAGCTCACGATAGGTGTAGAGGAAATCGTAGGCCTCCAAACGACAACTCTAGCTATAGAAGGGTTCCGTTTATCCTACCCTTCATCTCAAATGATATAAGTACAGCTATACCGCTGGGGTAAATTATGCAATTTTGAGTTGCGCATAGACGGTCATATAGGCGGTTACGAACTAGCTGGCGCTTAAGATTACTCCCTGGTATTTCAACTACGCTCACCGAATTCTCTAAGCCCGCCCTTCTTAAGCAGCGTTTTATAGCTGTTCTTATATCATTTGAGATGAAGGGTAGGATAAACGGAACCCTTCTATCGCTAGAGTTGTCGTTTGGAGGTCTACGATTTCCTCTACGCCTCTCCAGAGCTACAGTTTCGTAGCCATTAGAAATGGCTATTTGCCGTGCCAAGTACCGGGACTCCTCTCTCTGCTCTCTTCCCGTGCACACGTTGGTTGCTGTTCGAAACATGTTTCTTATAAGCGCCCCTTTTGTGTGAGAGGGGTGAGAGGAGAGGTAATGAGCCAAGGTGTTTTTACTACTTGGCTGGATTAATTCCAGAAATCCGAAAATGAACCGCAGGGAAGAATGCCTCATTATCACACGTGATATAGGGCTGTATATAAGACTGCTATTCTGATGGGAGGGGCACATTATACTTCTATGTGATTTCTGTGCGGTTGATCTCTACGTGACATACTTAGTGGAAACCTCATAGAAAGCGGTGAGTGTGCAAAGCTGTGTTCAAAGTGATTGAAATCTTGGTCTGGAGTTTCTTTGTTTGGTTATGGAGGCGTCTGGCCGAGTGGATTGCTGTCAACTTGACCTTTCCAGGCTCTGAGGAAGGCGAAATCTGCCGAGACGTCAGCTTATTCGTGAATAAAGAACAATAACACCTCGCGTTTGCTCAACAAAAATAGGTGCTCTATCCTGAAGCCATACATGTTTATTTCTCCTTCGTGTTGTATAAGGAGTTCGAATATGGCTTGCATTGCGGAGTCATTCGACACGTTTGTATAAAGGGCGGTAACGTCGAAGGACTCCATCACGCACGCGCTGTTGGGCTGCGCAGTACGTAGACGATCCAGAAGCATCTGGGTATTCGTAAGATGGGCTGGAATGTGTTTCAACAACTGGTTAAATATTAGGGTTAAAAACCATGTTATCCTGTCCGTTGGCCCGTCTACACAGCTAATGATAGGTCTAACCTTAAATAGTGATGGATCGGTAGACGCAAGATCATCGCTGGATACTAACTTATGAGTTTTTATAAGTAAGTACAAGACGGGGCATGTTGGTAAGGCAACTTTAAGTTGAGAGATAACTGATGGTTTCAAACCAGCAGCCCTTGCCATTCTGGCCCATTCGTGGTTTAGTTTTCGGTATTTACTTTTGAATTCCTCCTCAGATGATGGGCGATAAAGCGAAGCATCTTCAAGATGCTTTTTCGTTATCTCTACATCTAACTGATAAGGAATTGCGACAACCTCTCCACCCTTATCACTAACGGAAAGTCTTATAGTTTTCAACTTTATCAGGTCTCGTACCTCTCGCATACCACGTTTTTGCACTGGAGTGAGGTTGGAGCTGTATCTTTTCGCGCGATAGTGATTAAGGACTTTGAGAGTTTCATTCGCAAACATCCGAAATTTAACATCAACTTCATTACTGGGCTCTTGTTGTCTAAGGAACGTCGGGAGAAATGGTGCTATTGGTAGGGCCCCCACTTGATGTCGTTCGCACTTATTTAGCGCTTCATCTCTAGCTTTTTTTGTTTTTTTTTGTTTTTTTTTTCCATTTTTGGCTTCCATTTTTTAACGTACAAATTCACCTATCAGAAAATGGCTACATTACAAAGTGGTACCGAAAGCCAAGTAGTAAAAATATCTTGGTTCATTACCTCTCCTCTCACCCCTCTCACACGAAAAGGGCGCTTATAAGAAACATGTTTCGAACAGCAACCAACGTGTGCGCGGGAAGAGAGCAGAGAGAGGAGTCCCGGAACTTGGCACGGCAAATAGCCATTTCTAATGGCTACGAAACTGTAGCTCAGGATAGCTGTAGAGGAAATCGTAGGCCTCCAAACGACAACTCTAGCGATAGAAGGGTCCCGTTTAGCCTACCCTTCATCTCAAATGATATAAGTTGAGCTATAAAACGCTGCTTAAGAAGGGCAGCCTTAGAGAATTCGGTGAGCGTAGTTGAAATACCATCGAGTAGTCTTAAGCGCCAGCTAGTTCGTAACCGCCTATATGACCGTCTATGTGCAACTCAAAATTGCATAATTTGCCCCCGTGGTAGAGACGGTGATTGCATGAGCTCGGGTATAGTTTATCTGATCTCTTGCAAGACGTGTGGTGACGAATACATTGGCGAAACGGGTAGACCCCTCTGTGTCCGCATGAAAGAACACCTAGCCGGCAAAACTAGACCAAATACCCCGCTAGGCACGCATAGGACCCAGAGACATAACGGGGACGACTTCGAAGTATGTGTCACGATCCTCGCACGCGAATCAAGAACACAGGCGCGAAAAACTCTCGAGGCACTCTGGATTAATTCCAGAAATCCGAAAATGAACCGCATGGAAGAATGCCTCATTATCACGCGTGATATAGGGCAGTATATAAAACTGATTTTCTGATGTGAGGGGCACATTATACTTCCACGTGATTTCTGTGCGGTTGGTCTCTACGTGACATACTTAATGGAGACCTCATAGAAAGCGGTGAGTGTGCAAAGCTGTGTTCAAAGTGATTGAAACCTTGGTTTGGAGTTTCTTTGTTTGGTTATGGAGGCGCCTGGCCGAGTGAGTTGCTATCAACTTGACCTTTCCAGGCTCTGAAGAAGGCGAAATTCGCCGAAACGTCGGCTTAATCGTGAACAAAGAATAGTAACACCTCGCGTTTGCTCAACAAAAATACGAAGAAAATCACTTGATCNTTTCTGATGTGAAGGGCACATTATACTTCCACGTGATTTCTGTGCGGTTGGTCTCTACGTGACATACTTAATGGAGACCTCATAGAAAGCGGTGAGTGTGCAAAGCTGTGTTCAAAGTGATTGAAACCTTGGTTTGGAGTTTCTTTGTTTGGTTATGGAGGCGCCTGGCCGAGTGAGTTGCTATCAACTTGACCTTTCCAGGCTCTGAAGAAGGCGAAATTCGCCGAAACGTCGGCTTAATCGTGAACAAAGAATAGTAACACCTCGCGTTTGCTCAACAAAAATACGAAGAAAATCACTTGATCAATGCCGAGGTTAATAGAAAGTCGGTCGTGGCAGTTACAACCTAACCTCTGTGATCTGTCGAGCTAATGCTGAAATCAACAGTTGAAATTTATAGGGCTGTCCAACATCACGTGTGTTCAGGCAACAAAATACATGCTCGAATGTCAGCCACCCAGCCACCGCATTCCCTTCCCTCTAGTTATTTAATATTCTAGAGAAAATGCATATTTCAGAACGATTGAAGGATCAGAGAAATTATTTTAAGGATTATAAAGAGTAGGGCTACCATTGTTTTCTCCATTTATTACGATTTTCCTTGGGAGATTTAATAGCAGTTCATGCTGGACGTTTGCAAAATATATAAAAGACTATATTTTTCAAACCCAGCTTTTATTTAACCACGGAATAAACAAACAACATTTTCTTGTATCTTTAACTTAGCACGAGATTGGCAAAAAGTCTTATTCGGCCAACGTTCGGGCGCCTTTGCCCTTTCAGAGCCAGATTGATTCCAATCCTAGATGGTCTGTGGATAATCGAAGGTGCTGAAGAGTCAGCCGAAGCGAAATTTTGTAACAATCTTGCTTCAGCTCAAAAATCCTGAAAAATGTAGAAAGCTATTACTGTTGACTTTACCTCCATCTCAAACAATCGCTGAAACCCTCAATGATTACCGCTCGAGATTCTCCCACTTCATCCACTATATCCCTCCTTTAGGTTTTCTAATATTCGAAAGAGTTAAATAGCTTCACAGTTTTGATAGAGTGCTTATTAAATTTTTGTTTTTACCAAAACACCATTCAATGAATTCCCGGGTTCTGTTATGCAGCACTAGGCACTCCACACCAACACTAGTCGCCACCTAATTACTTCCTTGTTGACTTATTACATGTTGAATCGACAACGAACACGGAGCAATCCGCACATAAGTGCTACATAACTTCGATGTTTAAATGTTTTGCCAAAAAATTACTCTCGGAATACACGCGCTCAGAAATTTATATGGAAGCGGGGCCTCTCACATCGTTTTGCGATCTTGCAGCATGTAAACGTTTTCACTTCGTTGAGAAAAACTTTGGTTGTCATAAACATACTTTGTGAACTACACTCTTTTTATACAATCGGAACTTTTGTGTGTTGCATCTGTTCCAAACCATCACGGGTACGGTAACACAAAGAAGCTTGAAGTTGGCCGGCAAATCGTCATCAGTCATCTGATCACAAGAAAGCTGGAGACGCAAGCTGTTGGTTGTTTTCGGTAAGGGTTCTGGACCTGTGCCAAAGCACCGCCTTCTCCAGAAGATATTTAAAGAGCCCCGTGCGTCAATACCGTTTTCGCACCGCTGTTCATCATGTGTAATGCGCCTTGTAGTCAATCCAAGGTGTTCTCTCTTGTTGTATGTGGTAACTGTTGTATATTAACATTACTGTCATGTAGCTCTGTACCTAAAGCAAGATACTAACCCACATTACCCTCATTTATTGAACATGATACAATGTTGCAGTCTGTATTGTACCAATGTTTATATTTCGTTATTTTTGAACTATTATTGTTATAAACGGTTTAATTACCCAAGTTTGAGGTATCTCTCTGCGACAAATGTGAAAGTCCTACGTGGGAAATTCTACGAAGTCGAGCATCCTACTCAAAGCTAGTGGTCATAAGGTGCCGAGAGCTGACTCGAAGAGCTAATTTCCGCAAGCAACCGCTACATCATATTTGGTTCCTTTCCTCGTGCCCATTATCTTCGGATGTTTTCTAACCTTTTATGTGTGGCTTAGGCTGCTAGTTGACGATATTCATTTCATCTCGAATGGACGCGTGTTGCGGAGTGCTTGGAGGCGCCGTGCAATACACAAGGGATCGATTCCCGCGCTCAAGAGCCACCAAGCCTTCCTTTCCTCCGGGGTCGGCAAATTGGTACCAGATTAGTCTAGGAGGATAGCAGCACTGGCTCGATACATCGGCAAGTCACCGCGAGCCATCGTAAAAGGCCAGATATGCAGTCAAACGCCTCCAACGATACTTAATGAAGTCCATGCATAAGGCATCCCTGCGGGATTGATCAACGTCCAGAGCTTTAACCTTCTTATCCTTAAACGTCGTTGAATGCTGGTTTAGTTAATTATCGCTGAGATCCTGAGATAGCCGGTCTGGAGCATTCCCAATTGAACTGCACATCGTGGTCATCTTTCCTGAGCATGTGCGGTACCAATCTCTCTATCTGGGAGAAATGGAAGCTTGGTGAGTCTGGAGTGGCGTCAAACGTGCACCGTGCTCGTGATGATCTGCATTCCGCTCCTCATAGGATCATATAAATGCCTTAGCATATGCGTCGCTTATACAGTTACATGCGAGTATCTACCACTATATCAACACGGAATTTTATTTCGAAACCGACTTTCCTTGAACCTCGGTATCACTATTCAATATGTATTCTTTCCTTGATAAGCTTACACGAGGTTGATAAATATATTTATTTTCGGCTAACGTTTCGGCATCTTCGCCTTCCTCAGAGCCGATGATCCGAGTCGATGGTCCTAGCTTGTTATTCGCCTCGACGTGGCAGCTTCGCCTTCGTGTCGAGTCAGGTCTTCCTCAGTAAGCCATCTCCTCGAATGAGGCATCCTTACTCAGTGATGCCCTTTTATACACGATCCTGATGGTGGACACAATGATAATGTTGCGACGTCGAGACGAATAACAAGCGAGGACCATCGACTCGGATTATCGGCTCTGAGGAAGACGAAGACGTCGAAACGTTAGCCGAAAATAAACATCATTATCAACGTTGTGTAAGCTCATAAAAGAAAGAATAGTACAGAATTTTATATTCTCAGAGAGGAATGGTACAAATTCACCGATTCCGAAATGACGAGAGGATTGGTTTGGTGGACTGCTGGGTCGAGCCAAAGACCAAGTGTGCACTGCAGAGCGTCTTTAACAACTTCGTTATACGCGTTTTTTACCTCTTCTATCAAAATGGGTTCATCATTCATTGCACATATAAAAACTTTCCACTAACTGCATTTTACTTTGAATAATGGAACCTTGCACGCTGCTTCCACTTCATTTTACGACTTTTAGGTTAAAAACAGCACCGTTGTTTGCCGAGTGAAACGCAATTTAATTTAATTATCGCTCTCTTTTTTGCATTCGTTCCTAATATGAGCGACGTTTACAATTAATGCGTTTGGAACCCTTTTTTTACAATAATATTAACAGATGCGAGAGTAGATTAAAAGAAAGACATTAACTATTAGTATGAATATTTCGAATTCAGTAAAGAATCGGTTCAATTTTCTAATGATGGGATGGTTAAGAAAATTGGGAACTAGGAAGCGCATGGTATTAAAAGTGATTCTGAATCCACCTGTGGTATCTGTTTGATATTTCCAAGTCTTCTGCTTTCGA